GGTATTTAGACAGTACTCAGATTCTTTGGATGTAAGCTGAAATGGAAGAGATTACTTCCTGAGGTATGTGTTAGACCTCTAGGCTTTAACAAACGTAGTTACCATCTTTGAATCAAATAATAATTATTTTCATTTAGAAAAACTAAATTAACTGCTGCCTACCCAAAACTTTGTACCACTGTGATGAGTCATTTTCCACATGTTTGCAGCCTACCCAAAACTTTGTACCACTGTGATGAGTCATTTTCCACATGTTTGCAGCTGTGACAGTATCAAATATAGTTCGTAAATTCAGCTAATAATTAGTCTTCAGAATACTTTTCCCTTAATGTGTTATCACTAGTCACTGACCATGAAAATAATATGGAGACATTTAACATTCATGATAAACTTTGTGATTCCCAAAGGTTTTTCCTTCATGTGACTGTGTAATTTTGACTAATTTGGTGTAATTTTGACTTAGTCAAAGCTTGTATAAACAGCACAGAATGAGAGCAATCCAAATGTGAGTGCTGAATAAGCTGAATTTGGGGTGTATTTGTAGCTTGGTATTGTATCATTCCACTCTAAAAATAAATGTAAGAAACTTATATGTAGTTCTGGACTCATAATCTGAACTATGCAAGTGCTGCAAGCTTTTATATTAAGATATATCTTTTGTCTCTGGCGTATCTTCGGATTTCTCAAGGATTGTTCGTTCTCACTATAGTCTCGAAATTCCTCAGCACCAACATTTTATCTTTTCCTAATATTTATGTTTTCAAAGTATCATGATATTCTCATGTATTGTGGAATCTTTAATGATGAGATTAGAGAGGTGTTAAGAGGACTGCGGGTGGGAGCCAGGGATCATCACACCAATAATCCCTGTTCCAGAATGTTCTGATAATTCCTGGCTGACACCAGGACCCGAGGGAGCCACGGCCTGGACCCAGACAGCAGCCCCCTTCTCTCTGTYCTGGGGCATCTTGACAGACACCACGGGGAAGGAGGTGGACACAGAGGATCTGTTGCTTTATCATCAAACACTTGAATGTAATGAATATCTTGCCACTTCTTGAAACAGGTGTGATCAAGTTAAAAAATACAGCTGTGCTGTCCTCCTCATTTGGCCYTTTTTGTGTCTCTCCTGACGTTCTCACTTCCTCATTCGGTCTCTGTCTTCAGAACTAGCCTCCACAGTAATTTTACTGACTTCCTAGTTCCAAAATCTGGTTTACCTCATCATGCASCTTAGGGGTGGCAAAGGACACTTGGTGATTTTGGTAGTGTTAGAGATTCCAGGCCATTTTCAGCCAAGTCAARCAGCTTTGGAGAGACCTGCACTCAGGGGCACCCGGGCACAGCAGCGAGACTGATTAGGCCKTGACGGCTTCTGCACAAATAGCTGCTCAGTCCGTCCTGGCTGTCTATGTGAAGGCGTCAGGCCCAACCCAGAGAGCTAAGTTGAAGCACTGCCTGCTTAGACTGACCTCTTGACTTCTCTGCTGGGATGGCTGAGGAGTAGACACRCTTTTAAGTAAGGCAAGGAGACACGTGAGTAAGACAGTAGTTAAACCAAAGGAAACTGTAGCCTCGTGTTCTGTCTCTGTTACTGCCTCATAGTAGATAGTTAGACATGAAATACCGGAGCAGAGAAGGCATGCAGGGAGCAATGCTCCCCCCTCCAGCTGCTGTAATGTGCAGAACTGTTAAATCAGAATTTGTACCCTTACATCCATACATGTACATACATACATGCATGTACATACATACATGTATATGCATACATGTACATACATGCATTTGTACCYTTACATTTAAAAGACTGTCATGAATTACTTTGGCAAATTTGCCTAATTGCTTTTCAACCTCATCTAAAATACGGGCATTTTGTGCTATGTAGGAAAACACTTCTTTTGCTCATTCCGGACCCACTAATTTCATAGGGCTTCCTTTGTTCTCACATGGGGAGAAGTCAGGCATCCTTTCATTTGTTTTTTGGGAACTTTTGCAGGTTCTCGTGAGTTTGTAAAGTTTATAGACACACGTCATATCTCCCTTCACTTGTCCTTTCCAGCTGAAAACTCTAGATCATTTTAAGCAATTCCAAGATACATTTGGCCTTCTTTAGTTCCCCCRTGTAATTCCTGAGAGGCAAGGACCAGTTTACAGAAATGGGGCTACTGTGTCATTTTTTAGAGTACAGTTAGGCTCTTTCCTGTTTTGTGCTCTATGTTTTCCAAACATCATTGCTACGAAAGTTACGGTATCTAAACATTTATTCTCTGCATTATRACTTGAGAAGACATTTTTTTCAGCCTTTAGGAGAGTTTTCTATTATGATTATGTTTGGTGCCTTCACTAACTTGGTCAGTATGTTGCCACCAAGGTTGAAAAGCCCATGACATGGGCTAATGTTTTGGTGTAGAATTTCACACACATGAAACACAGAGAAACTTCTTAATACAAGATATAATTTACACGGATTCTAATTGCTCTTTAATGCAGCATCATTCCTCCATTGAACTAGCTAGGTGTCTCATCCAATACATTTTTCCTCTTAATTATAATGATTCTTTTTCTTCATTTTTCTGATACACTTACTATGCCAATATCTGTGGTTCAATTTCTTCTTTCTGTTGTCCCTGCTTATACATATGTTTGAATTAAGATAGATCAATCAAGCAATAATACAAGACTCATGTTTAAATCAACCATATTATCAAATATATATAATATGGAAATCAACATATTATTGTAGAGGGCAGAAAGTAGAAATTATATTGCCTTTTCAGTTTGAAACTAAAAGAATGAAATCCTCTTTCGCTTCTAATCTCAAATGTACAATTTTCTTTCTCATGTTTTATATATTTTATATTGACATAAATCTTTTGTCTCCTACTAAAATATACAGGTAGTCTAAGTTAAAAGAAGTGTTTTTAAAAAGCATATAATTCCCTAAAATTGAAGGAGTATGTCCTTCATTTAAAATGTCRTTTAGTGTCTGCCCTCCTATCTGCTACAGGATATTATCATTAGCCTACAAATGTGATAGTTATGACTTTTCCAATTTTCTTAATAAATCATTGACCTTTAAGAAGTAGTGTTTTTGTGCTATTCTTGATTTTTTATGACAAYGGCAAAATTAAGAAATCAGCACAAAATAGCCAAGGTTGTGTGCCTTGGCTATTAATTACACCTTTGTATCACACTAGACTTTCAACCTTTGGTTGGTATACTGTTATTTCCGGAATCTGGCACTGTACACCTTCAAATTGTAAAATGGTATGGGTTAAGGAGGAGGCTTTTAAATTGGAGGCTTTAAAATGTTGTTGGTGGGGGTTTTTTCAAAATATGTAACCCAAAGTGTGAGGAACCTGATGCTGTGTGTGTAGGTTCATAGTTGCCTCCAGCAATTCGCAGGCAGCAACACAAGCCAGGATTAATTCTGCCCAACATCAGGGCTCCACATTAGAGCTCAGAGAACCGAAGAAAATCTTTACCAAGTCAGTTCTTCATTTTTCCATTTCTGAAGCCCAGAATGAATATGAGAGCCATTTAATACGGTAAATTTTCCTAGTGTATTACAGTTWCAGAAACACCTGCTCTGAACAGCATTTTGCTAAACCACTGTGAGTAAGAGTACTCAATTACTTACCAGTACTGAGGTGCTACTGTGGCTGAACTTTGTACTTCATAGCAGAACACAAAGGAATACTGGTTCCAGAAATATTTTTATATTGCTTGGAAAATACACCTTATAATGCTTTGCTGTGCAGATCTGTTTCTGAATGTGTTGTTAAGGAACTTCCAAAAGTTGTTACTACTTCGATTGTGCAGAAGTCTTACATATGAGGACAAGAATTTAAACACAGTCATATGGTCTGCAAATCCCTTGAGCAGCTCTAAGTGTACTGGCACTGAAACATAGGTGCTTTTTTGGGAAAAGTTCCTGAGAGTTTGATAACAATTTTAGGTTCCTATATTAACTGCTTGTTAATCTACTTGTGAGGCATCATGTTCACTGCTCTCCTCATGAACTGTTGCCACTCTGAAGAAAAAATAATGCAGAAAACACAACTTTCTCAAGAAAAAAATAATTTTGCATGAATACTATATTTTATATATATACACATACACGTATATATATCCTGATGTTTCATATTATTGTTTGACCTGCTTTATTATTAAGAAAATAATTTTGAGCCCAAAATTCAGACACACAGATCAGATAGATCAGATCAGATCTCGGTCAGTCTAATCTAACAGCTTTCAGATAGAAAGTGGGTGATTCAGAAGTTGCCAGAAACTTCCTGTGAGACATATACACAGTAATCTGTCAGCCACTAAATCTTCTCAGAATTTCTTAGTAGTTAGAGATAATTTTAAGCCCTAAAGCATAAAGTTTCATCTTTCTTTGAAAATATATTAGCATTAACTATTATGAATCTGGAGATTTTCTCACAAACAGTAAAAATTTGACAAACACAAAAGTGAGGTATTTCAACATTAATTGTTATTGTRAATCTTTGTAACACAGAGCAATAATGAGCTTCCTTGCCAGGTAAGAGAATTTGGAGGATATGAAAATGACTTTAGCAGGGTGACTGTCCAATATCTTTATGATCCCTTTGATTGTTAGAAACTCTTTTATTGTAGCATAAATGTTATAAAACTGATTAGTCCCAACCAGTGGTTTGGAGTGAAAAACTACTTCAGAGTACTTCCTGCTTATCTGTGGTTTAGATGAGAAAAATACAGATTTTAGCCTGTTAGAGTTTGAGAAAGAGTTAATATAGAATATAGCTGAGGGTATGACTGGATCCTTAGTGTTGCCATTAGAAGTATCTATTACAATTTCATGAAAAGTGAATTTTAACCTCACAGAAAACATTTTGAACTAACCTTTATATTAACTGATGTACTACGTCACATCATCTCATTAATCCAAACCAAAAGGGGAAGAAGTAGATGTAATTCTGTGAACTTACGTGTTATTCTCTTCTGTTTCTTTCCAGACAACTATTACGGCACCCCAAAGCCTCCAGCAGAACCAGCTCCATTACTGTTAAATGTGACAGATCAGATCCTTCCAGGGGCCACTCCTGGCGCTGAAGGCAAGCGCAAAAGGAACAAGTCTGTGAGCAATATGGAGAAGACAAGTATTGAACCACCAGAGGAGGAAGAGGAAGAAAGACCTGTAGTCAATGGAGATGACATAACCGTAACACCAGGTTTGTTCTGCCTTCTTCCTACACAATGTGTTTCTGTTATTCACAGATACCTCAGTTACCCCTTGTGCAGGGAGAATATTCATGCCCAGATAAGGATGCCCCTGCAGAAGCCAGGAATCCTGAGTAGTACGATTTCTGTCAAACATTAAACAAAACCACTTAAGCTCCAGTCTGGGAAGTTATCATCTCACTTAGCTATAGCAAGATACCTGTCTTGAAGCTAGTCACTCTGAACTCTTGATAGCCAGGACAGAAAAAATCTACCTGATCAACACAGTACATTTAATCTATTTTACATTTCTAGGCTAGGACATCAATCACAAGYGTTTATTTCTCTCCACTGGCTATAGTGGGAGTCTAAAATGTAGCTGCGATGCAAATATCTACAATTTTGGTCAATGAATTCCAACTCTGTGCTTTAGGTTTTCTTTCTCTAAAATGGTTATGCTATTATCTTGCAAGAGAATTTGCTAGATTATGAAGTGAACTTTTATAAAATAGTAGGAAATCTGTCAACCTGTTAATGGATTCACTGTCACCTGAGGATCAGCAAGCTCTGCATAGCCTGCTTCATTTTCTAGGCAGATAGGATCATTCTCAGCAGTGTTCCAGATCCTTCRTAATGCTAATGAAGTCCTCAGTCCTAAAAGGTATATGTTGTTTTACCCATGGGATCCTAATTTTTCAGAAAAAAAGATACTAACTCATCCTTTTCTCGATCAGGTGAAACCTATTTGTTTCCTTTGGAACATTTCAACAAGAATCACCATTTTACAGTATTTAAACATTCTTTTATTCTGAAATGAAGTTTATTAAAAAAAATCAGGTAGATTAATAAGGAATTCAGGCATTTTTATCTCTTTGAGAAATAACTTGGAGCACTCTTTGATAAACTTACAAATTCAGAAACAAATGTTTAAAAATCCAGAAACAAATAGACATCTTGTAGTGACAATCATACAGATAAGTAGATAAAATGGAATATTGCTAATTGCTATGGTTCACTAAAGGCACAGGCTAATATAAAACAATAAATCCATTCTGAAATTTAAATACTGTGAAAAGGATATTCATACTCCTAATTTTTTATGTGCTTTTTTTTTCTCTCTTCTTAATTAGAAAGTGTATTAAATTGAATACCTTTCCTGGGTGTATTTGTTGCATGCTTTTCTATTGTTGACTAAAATGTAAGTGTTTAAAGGGCAAATCCCCCATGCAGACRCCATCCCCGCGTCGCAGCGGGCAGCACGGAGGTGTAAGGGCTGCTCACGTTCTCCCCACTCCGCTCTCCGTGTCCTGCGGATTTGCTCTCCGGCCCTGGCCACCCCGAGCTGTACAAGCTGCACAGCAGCACCCTGGCACCGAGTGCCTTCCCTGCACAGCTAAGCCAGGCTTTCGGGAAAGGATGGAGCCCAGGACGAGTCTGTGCATAAAGCATCAGCGCTGTATCCTGGCTCTGTTGCCAGGATACTTGCACAGCGGAGGAAGCAAAGGCAGGACTTGGGCTCTGGCGTGTGCTGTAGAAATCATTACAGAAATCATTCTTCGCAGTTATTCAAAATGTAGCACGGACCCACCACTGCCGCGAGTAGGATTTTTAGGGTAAAATATTCCAGTTCAAAACAGATCAAAGGGAACAAGCACCTGATTTTCCTTGCATTGCCCACCCCACCGCTTGCTTCTCCCGGACAAGGAGGTGAAGGATGACTCGGCAGCAGGCAGGGATCAGCCCCTGGCACAGGCCGTGCTGAGGAGTGCAGTGCATGGGCACAGCAGCTCCCACGGCCCGTGTCCTCACCCCTGCCAGGCGATTCCTGCAGCCGTGGCCRCTGACCCAGCGCTGCCTGTGCCATCTCCCCTGGTTCCATAAGCAGCGTTTGTTGTGCGGGCACCGAGCACGGACTTGGGCGACGGGAGCAGCTCTGTGCACGGGTGCTGAGGTGCCTGTGCTGGGGAACGCAGCTCCCATGGGTCCCACCACTGCAGTCCTGTTCTCCGGGAACTGAGAGCCATAGGGGCCTCTCCAGTGCACGTGCACTCGCAGTCTGTGTCTCTGGGCAATCAGGAAAGCTGAAGTTTGCTCATGTTTTGGGGGAGGCTCTGCCCCGGTGAAGGGAGCAGTAGAGGCTTTGTACCGAAGCAGCCCAAGGCAGGATGTTTGTTATTTCAAGTTCTTTTAGGAAGTGTGTTTTATTTTAAACGCCTCTCTTCTGAAGGGAGTCTTTTGTTAAATACAGGACTCTTGGGACTTCTGAAAGATTGATGCATTTTTTATAGATGCTCAACAGTTTACCATTGTATTACCTGCCAGCTGAATCAGAGCACTAGCAAGGCAAAATAACACCTAGGGCTGTGAGGTTGAAGTATTAATAGATCTAAGATAAACCCAGGGAAAATTAACCTGTCTTTATCAAATCAATTGACAATATTTGTATTGAAGAGATAATTAATTTTGGTCTTATTTTTAATTTTMGTTTATGCCATTTTCTAATTACTAATTGGGAAGTTAATCTTTGTGCCCGTTGAGCTTTATTAGTAGGAATCTATTTTTCATCAATATTTCCACATACTTTGCTCCCTATGCTGTCAGATTTCCCTCTCACAATTATATATGGGCAGACTGAAGATCTTCAGGCATAACAGATAATATTAATTCTTTTTAATTTGTACTGCTCAATGTGTTTACTCATACTCAGCCCAGAACCCATCAGGAAGTTTTCCTACTTCTTTAGGATGAGGCTTTTGGTCATTTTAGTCAGTCATTCCTCCTGGATCAAGTTCTTTCAGCATCCATTACTATTAACCAGGAGATGTTATTTAACTCATTGATTTTTAGCAATTTATATATATAAGTAAGTGCATTACTGATGAAACATCTGATGAAACCTTTCTCTTGAAAAACAAGGAGTGGCACTTCCAAAGAGCATAAGAGAATATAAGATACCCTTTTAAGGCATCTGCAACCTGGAATGTTTAATTGAATTTACAACACAGAAGTCTGGCTGGCTAAATTTAAACAAGGAAAAAAAGTCCTACTATTGACCAAGCAGCATACAAGAGACAGTCTATTGAATAACTACTAGGATGGCCAAGTGATGATCAAGAATCTGGAGTTGGTGTTGGATTTCTCACATTTAATTTAATTGCCCACATACTACTATCCTGAGAAACCTTTCCTGAAGGGCACTGCATTGAAAATGACAGTTTCTGTAAAACTGATGGTTTGACAAAAGAGGTAAAAAGATTGTTAGTGAAACTGCAACCAGCTGGTAAGACATTGACTGTTACTGGAGTCTGCAAAGAATTAAGCCAGTCTCCTTCACAGCCAGCGTCATGATTTGACACTGTTGGCCATGTCACATTTGCTTCACACTTCTGACTGATTATATGTTTATTTTCTTCTAAACTCCAGAAGAACCATTTCTGAAGTTGAAAGAATGCTTATGTACGTGTATGACATTCCTTGGACAATGACAAGTTTTATCCAGAGAGTGAAATATCTGGCCGGCTTGAAATTAACTGAGGGATAAGATACGACACAGAGTATGTTTCGAAAGAATCATTGGATGCCTYAGGTTGATCATGGAGCAAAAGGCTGGAGTCCCAATGCTGTCTATCACCATGTGAGGTGCAGTACTCCCAAAGAGCTGCGTGGCCTTATGCTCCTATTATAACATAGTAAAGGCAGCCAGAGGCAAGAAAATAAAGAACACTGTATGCAAGAGCTATGAGATGATAAGAAGATGTAAGTTGGTATCCATTGATATTTCCAGCATAGATCTTTGTCTAAATTCAGTTTATCATAATTAAGCCACATCCAGTCTACAAAACAAGCTGTGTTTCCCAATCTCCTTCTTTCCCATTTTCCTTTCCCTGCACCAGCTCCTATTTCTTACTGTATTAGATTTCAGGGGGAAGAGCTCCTCTCTGCAAAGCATCAAAGCCCAGATCTGGCTGCAGCTATGCAGGAAAGGGAACTGGTGCCTTGCACAGGAGCAGCATGGGTTTCTCTCCAGCTGGAGGCAGCAACTCTTGGCCAGATAAGAAAATAGTATGAAGCATGCAGAGGCATGAAATTCACTGGACAACAGTCGAACAATTCTTGTATCCCGTAGTTATTTAAAGGGATGAACACGAACGGAAACACAAGAAGTTCTTGAACTTAAGGAAAACTTTTTTAGGGAGGGTATCTCAGCACTGGAGCAGGTTGTTTAGAGAGATTGTGGAGTCTCCATCCTTGGAGATACTCAAAAGCCATTCGGATAAGGACCTGGGCAACCTGCTGTATGTGACCCTGCTTGAGCAGGAGGGGTTGAATAGATGATCTCTTCTGTGCAGGGCTTGACAAGTTACTCATTTAGATAGAATCAAAAGCTACAGTATATTTTTTCAGAATTGCTAAAACCACTTCACAAATGAATATTTAATATTATTTCCTTTAATTTGTTCTCTGCTGCTGTTGCTTAGGTCATCTGAGTTGATTGTTTTAGAAGAAAAGAATAAGCTTTTAAGCTTTACTGCATGAATCATGGAAACATTAAAATAACAGAACAAAGTGGCATGGTCCTTTTACATGTTTAGATGCCAAATTTCAAGTGTTAGACTATAAATAATAGAAAATTTAAAATACAAGTGGCACGCTGGGTGTTTCCCAAACTCTGGGGGACTATTAAAGCATAGCTACCAGTTACTCAAAAAAGTCACCTTGTGGTCCAAGAGCTCTTCACAAAATATGTCATCTCATACTACTACTGATATTGTAACGCTGCAGACATCAATTTACAATACTTAACAGCAGCAGTATTTTTTGATATGCATATTATCTTTTTCCCGAAAGTTAACTGCATTTCAGATATGCAATAACTTGCTGGTATTTTGCTGTTTCCCCTTCTGTCACTTCACAGGCCATTCACTATGAAGACGCACTAAATTTGAAAACTCAACTATGTAATCTGTTTTGTAGTGAGACAGTACCTGTAGTAAACTATTTCATTTGATGT